GAAATAGTATTTGAAGCTTTAAAGACAATCTATGTTTTTGCACCAATCTTATATTGTATTGACTTCTCTAAGGCATTCTTTATAGAAACAAATGCATCAACAGTCAAGATTAACTATGAGATCTATGACAAAGAGCTTCTTACAATTGTAGATTCTTTTTAAGAATAACATCATTATCTAGAAGGTACTTTTAGTCTAGTCACCATGTATACAGATCAGAAGAACCTCAACTATTTCATGTCAATTTGTATTTTGAATCTTCACTAGGCTCGTTGGAGCATGTTTTTGTCAAGATTTAAGTTCAAGATTACTTATTGGCCAAAAAAATAATAAAATTTTTCCAATGCCCTTTTTAGACGTTCTTATCTTGCTTCTAAAGAAGAAGATGCAACTTTTCTTTAATAAAAGATAATTTTATTGAAGCTAGATCAATTTCATCTTTGAGTAGTGAAATCAACATTAATTGTTGATTCAATTTTTTTCAAACAAATTCAATCAAGTATGTCCTTTGATTCTCTAGTTCATGATATCAAGAATACTTCTTATAAGTCTTATATTACTTCTAAGTTTGAGTTCTAAAAAAATCTACTTTATTTCAAAAGATGCCTATATGTGCCAAAAAGAGAAGCATTTTTACGTATTCTTCAAGCATGTTATGACTTTTCAGTAGCATGAGATCTTGAATACAATAAGACTCAGGAGCTAATATCTAGAGCTTTTTGGTGGCTGCAAATACGAAAAGCTATAAAAGACTTTGTTCAATTGTGTGACGTTTGTTAAAGGTCAAAAATTCCTTAATATTGACCTTATGCACTACTTCAACTATTACCTATGCCAGAACAACCACAGTCTTCTATTTTTATGGATTTTATTACGGATCTTTTAATCTAAGGATCGTATGATTCTATATTTGTAATAGTAGATCGTTTTACTAAAATGGCACATTTTGTACTATGCATAAAATCTATCATAAGTGAAGAAACTACTAAGCTTTTCTTTGACAACATTTATTGATATCATGGATTGCTAAAAGATATTATATTGAATAGAGAGACTCAATTTATATCAAGATTTTGGAGAATTCTTTTTAAGATTTTAAAGGTGGACAAAAAAATTTCTTCGACCTTTCATCTTAAAATCGATGAATAGATAGAGTGTGTAAATTAAGTTTTATAGTAATACTTAAGGTGTACCATCAATTATCAACAAGACGATTGGAGAACCTTCTTGCCATTGGCAAAGTTTACTTATAATAATACAATGTATTCTTCTACGCATCAAATACTTTTCTTTGCCAATTATGGTTATTATCCATGACTTGATACTTTTGACTTTTTAAAAGTTGATAATCCTGCGACAAAAGAATTGGAAAATTATTTGTCAAAGCTACATATAATAATGAAGGTGTAATTAAACGAAGCTCAAAAACGACAAAAGATCAATGCGGATGCCTATCAAAAAGAACCACCACAATTCAATGTAGGTAACAAGATATAGTTGCTTCATCATAATATCAAGACTACTTGTCTTTGTGATAAGTTGGACTACTGTAGGCTTGGACCTTTTCCTATTTGTAGACAAATCAATCTAGTTGTTTGTCATTTATAAGTAACAGAGGCAATGAAGATCCTTCATGTCTTCTACGTGTCCCTTATTAGACCATAGAAGACTATGAACATAGCAAGAAGAAGACAAGCTCCACTTCCTCTTATAAAAGTGGATAATAATGAAGAGTTCAAAGTAGAAGAAGTTCTAAACTGAAGGCAATGCCAAAATAAATTGGAATATCTTGTCCATTGGCATTGATATGATATTAGTGAATGCACATGAGAGCCAATAAAGAATCTTATAAATATAGCAAAGGTAGTAGAGGCTTTTTATTAACGACATCCATTTAAATGAAGATGAAGAATAGTAATTCTTTGCTATAAAAAAAACAAGACTCATAGAAGATTGCATTCTGTCTTCTATCTTTCTTTGTAGCTTCTATGTATTTGTGATGCTAAGAAGATGGAAAATCAACAACAATCACATTCAATTCAAGAGCTTTTATTTTTGGACTTAGTTGATGAAACATTGTGATTGTCACAACCATCAAGACGACAAAATCAAAATAAAGATCCTTAAGAATAACATATCTTTCCTCGAATAGATGGCGAGATACAATGTGTTTGGTATTACGACTTTAGAAGAAACTCTCAATATTTGGTGATTTTATTAGAAGTAGAAACAACTCCTGATAATGTTTCAAATATTTTATTTGAAGAAAGTGAGGAAGGCCTCAACAACGATCAAATAACAGGGTGGTTTTTTGTGCCTTGATATCTTAAAAATCCATATTAATAAGGTCTGAAGATCTATTGATCATTTGACATCTTAAAAATCCTAGCAAGTACTTCAAATCCTAATTCATAAGCATCCGCATACTATTTTCTTTATATCTTACAAACCCAAAATTTGAATGCCACAAAACTTTTGTATAAAGTTTAGTAACATAAAAATATACATTTTTAGAAATTTTTAATCAAAATCTTGTCAAATTGCACAAGATATAGTTCAAAATTCAACTACTAACAATTCGGGTTACTTACTACTCCTTAGATTCCAAGCATTAACTTCAACTTCCAATATCTCCTTTATCCTAGTTTAAAATTCATCAAAAAGAATATGTAAAGTATAGCCAAGAAAGTGTTTTCTCGAACCTAAGTCATTGATCTTCTGATGCTTTTTGTACATGTGTGTTATATCAAAAAGAGTGATAGTAGGTACAAAATTGACACCTTGACTTTGAGCACTTATATCTCCTTCATGAAAAGTACAAATTGATTCAAAATTTATACCAAAATCATAGCCAAAAACTTGAATTTGCTAACCCTAGCCTCTAATGTTCAAATCCTTTTAAAATACTTACCCTAATCCCTAATATGGCCTCGGGTAGCCTCCTTGAAGCCTATTAGTCATAGATTTTAAATAATAGGAATAGAGATTTATATCATCTATCTCCATTCATTCATATGGATGCCCTAACTTTTCTTTATTCTATCAAGACCCCTCTCCAACCCTTTTTCTAAAAAGATTTACATAATATATGTCCTAAACATCAAATAAAAGAAACAAATTAAGACTTTAAGTATCACCAATGTTTAATAAAGGTGACTTTGAATATGAAAAAATCATTATCAACCAAAATTAATCTTAAAAGCCATGATCAAAAGAAAATAAAGTTATGTAAATTCTAATAGTAATTCTTTTTTAACAACCTCTTTTTAAAATAGTAATCTAATTACATTCTACAACCAATTAAAATCTACTAACATAGTTCTTACTATATTACTTAGTAAATTATATATCAAACATATAAACACAATATTTTCACATGGTAGGAGAACCACAAAACAACAATGTTCTATTTCTTTGGCTATTTTTTCTACCATTGATGCAAGATTTAGAACCACCATATATACCAATTACTCATGCTATATTTATTGTATCATATTAATTTACCTATTTTAAATCGAAAAAATTGTATACTTGTAAATCAAATTCAAAAGCATATACCATGCAAATTTATAACACAAACAAAAAATATTGAAAACAAGTATTTGTAATTGCATGGTAAAACACTAAATCATATTGTCATGTATTCACTTAAAGTACTATACAAAGAGACATAGTAAAACTTTTAAAAAATATAACATATGAAACCTACAATAGATACATAGTTGGTTTCCTATACATGTATATATAGAAGTATATTTTTAATGTTGCAGTATATAAGTTCCAATAATGTTTTTTAAAGAATTATGGAATCATTTCTCATTGAAATTTGTATTAGATCTTGTAAATTATATACATAATTAAAACACAAAAACAAAAACAAAATAGACTCATCACCTTATTATTTACTCCGTGATTTCTGAACTCGAATGGATGCATTATTACTGGTGTGATAGTGTTTGTGATGGCAGGGGACTGGGATCATCCCAGGAAGGAAGGAGGGATTAGGGTTAGGGCTTCACGCTGGCGTCCACGTCTCTCTGTGCCCTCGAGTCAGTCGTATAAGGACTCTGTGCTCGCATACATTCGATCATGTCGCGGTCGGTGTTGTGTCTGTCTTTCCAGGGTTTTAGTGTTTTGTTAGCGCTGGTGCTTGATGTCGAGTGTAGGGTATTGCGTCGAAGTCGATGACGATAAACCTTCAGGCTTGTTTCTCAAACATTCGCAGTGGCCGCCTAAAGCTTTCGCCCCGCCGGGCTTGAGAGCTGATGCAGCTTCCAAACCTTCCTTGGATATCTGAGACTTGCGTTTCCGTGTAGTGAGCGAGTGGCACGGGAGGAGGTGAGGATACTTTCCCCAAATGATCGATTCTGATTCCATCTGTGCTAATCAGCTCGAAAGAGCCAAGCCAGGAAAACTGATCCTTCGTGCCATTGAGTAGACCCGTTTGTGCGGTGAGGGCTAGGGATACGCAATCCCGTGTGTACAATGCTGTGGCCTTGTGCGCAGTGATTGAATGGTGGAGTTGCCAGAGTTGCGGGCGAGTGGGCAGTTAGGCAGACGTTTTGATGCATGTCGTTAACAATCATTCGCCCCAAAGTTGCGTTGTGGCTCAGAGTGAAGTAGAGTAGAGTTGGCGTAAGCCGGTAGGTCACAGGGATGTAGGTGATCGTGAGTGCGAGAGTGGTTCACGTCGGGGGGCCAGACGGAGGAGATTGCAATGACGATTCGATAATCCCAGCTCGCTTTTAGCTTCCGCGAGGGGGCGTTGAAGAGAACTAGTCGTTTCCAACACAATATAATCCTGAGCAGTGTGGCATCTGTGTGGCCTGGGCGGTGGGAAGGGGTTTTGTGAGATTCGCGGTCTAGGGTCGGTAGGAGCAGCATAGTCGCGCGGAGTCCGCGAGGCAGCGGAATGTTGCAACATTGGAACGCGCTGTGAGTGAATGTGGAGGCAGGAACGTGGTTTGGTGAGGAAGGGGGTGCAGAAGTGGGAATTGATGGGACAATGACGACATACAGAAAGGTCTCGTTCGGCATACTGGTCCACAGACCATGCTGACCATTCTGATAAGATCACCACCCATAATCTGATGTCCCTTGGCTTGCATCGGGTATATTTCTACTTCCATGAAATCGGCTTTCTTATACATATAGAAAACAAACACTGCCTCGGAGTCTGTTACCTCTGACTCTCCGTCATACGCTTCATGTCACTGAGAACGTGTTCGACAGAGTCCTTGAAAGAAACCGAGATTGCTCTCACGGGAAACTTGGACCTCTGATCACAAGCACTATCACACCACAAATAATGCATCCACTTGAGTTCACAAATCACTCAATTAGTACCAGGCTTATCGATCTATTTGTTTGGCCTTGTGGTGTTTTGCCTGATTTTACCTCGTTCTATATGATTATTTGATTCATCCTGTAATTCTATTTTGTGTCTTTCGTGTCAGGTCATTTTGGATGTCAGATTTCATATTCTTGATGATGAAAATGTTCTTGTTCTCATTGTTGGTTTGAAGTTTGTTTTTTATTTAAATTTTTATGACTCCCTCACAGTGAATCTTGTTAATAGCTTTTGGTTTTTTCTATGTGATTTTATTTTATTTTCAATTATACTTAATATTGTACGTTTCTTTTTTATATTCTTCAGTCCAATTCATTCGGTTTGCTGTTTTATACTGTAACTGATCATGGCTATGATATTGTTAAATTTATATTGTACAGTTCTCTCAGTAACATTTACAATTCTATAGTTTGTATCAAGTCTTTCTTCAGAACAATGATAAAGTGATCGAAAATTTGACGAAGTTGAACCACATGTTGTGCCCTGTGCATTGCCTCTGCCTTAGCAAAGGTATGAATGGGGAACAATTGAGAAAAGAGATATGGGCAGGAAGGAAGTAATGATGATTAGGATGGATAGGTTATATTAAAAATTCGGATTGTTTTATCATTCCGTTTTTTTATTACAATACAAAATTTATAAACTTAAATCCTAATCAAAATGTAACATCCTTAATTAAACCCTAATTTTATCCTGACAACTCATAATGAAAACTTAATCTGAAAAAACTAATACGCGGACAATCTCAGAACTTCAATACCGATTAATTATTTGGTCAATCTTTTTTATATGGTTTCACACTTTTTAATCATCTTATTATCAACATGCAGTACAAATTGTAGAAAAATCTTAATTTTTGAGCCCAAATCCTCCTTAACTGTTTGGATATTGGCCAGTCTCCTTTTCCAATCTTGATCTTGATCGTCCAGCAACCGTAATTCTATATTGAACTGTTACACTTGCTCTTGAATTTATCAAAAGTTAAGCAACTTAATCACAATTCCCTCACAAATATTTCCTTCAATCCAGCCGACAAATTACTTGACATCAATAAGAACCGTTTTCGACCTTTGAAATACTGATTCTTAGACCTTAATTGAGTTGGATTTGAATAACTTTTGATATATTTATTAGATTTGTTTTAAATTGATAAAAAACAATTTGAAATACATAGTTTTACTAGACTACAAAATTATACTTGTCAATATGTTAGAATGTTAATGTCATGCTCAAACATATAATTATATTTTTATTTTTTAAACCTTAATATATTTAAAACAACTTGCACTTCAAAAACTCTCAAAAAATTTGTATCGATCCAAATCTCTCAAAATCAATGTTTAATTAAATGTTAGCAAATAAGCTATCTAATTCTATTTTCTAATACTAAGAAAAAGCATAGAATTTCTAGAAGTGCATGGTTTTGTATACGAGGGTCTAGTTTTGACCCTAGTTCACAATTGGTGCTATCTTAATATCAATTTTTAGCTTTTTAAAGTAAAATTTGCTAAAAACTACTCTTAATTCTTTCCAAAAGATACCTATATTAATTTCTTATTAATCTACTTTATCTTTTTTTGTTTATGGCCTTCATATTTTGTAGTTAAAAGAAGTAAATATAAGTAGATTTATTTCTTAAATAAATTCTTAAAATCTTGCTACTACAAGTATGAAAGAGCTAACAATTAGTACGCTGGAAAAATTTGTTGGAATAAAATCAAAATCGTAAGAATTTTTGCAATGACTTAATTAATTTATTTTATTTTATTATTATTATTTTTAATGATTCTTTGATAGAATTATTCAAGTAAAATTTATAGACATAAACTTTATCTTGTTGCAAATATCAAATTGAGGTTGTTCTTTGAAAGAAATATTTGCATTGATGTTTTGTCATTCTTTATCATCTTTTAATTGTGTCTTTATTGTTATATGTAGCTTGATAAAAAAAATTGTCAAATCTTTTGGTATAAGATTATTAGTTTCTAAAAATTCAAAAATATCAAATTAAAGATGATAACCATAAATAGCATAAAAATATGATTATTAAGTATAAAAATGTATTGTATTATTAAAGATAAATATTACTAATAGCAAAAGAATTATTCAATGATCTTGATAGTAGTTAATGATTCATCTTAAATTGTGCTCCATAGCTTGATTCATTTAATCAATTTGTCGATTATTTTAACAATAAAAGATCAAAGATAATTTTATGTCTACCTTCAATATCTTGAAAAGAATTTTTCAAAACTTGGATACAAATTGAGTCTTACTATCTAATATAATATTCTTTGACAACTCATAGTAGTAATAAATATTATTAAGATTTTTTTTTGTTATTTCTTTATTGATGATAGTTTTTATACATGATACATAATAAGCCAATTTAGTGAAATAATCTAACATAATAATTATAAAATTATATGAGATTCTGTCCTAGACAAGAACTCGATGAAAAAACAATCCAGACAAGTGAGCCTTCACTCAAAGAAAGGTAACAAAATATAAATAAATAAGTATGTATATTGAAAGAGAAACTAGAATGGCTATTGCCAAAAGACAAGAAAACTAGAGACCCTTGAAACTAGACTAGAAGCAAGAAAGGAGTTGACAAGAGTGAAGAAGGCTTCACTCTTGTCTCTATATATACTATCTAACTAAGGGCTACGTGGCGACGTTCTATAAGACCTCCAATATGTGTTGACTTTGTAGGACACATGCCTTGACTTACAAGGCAAGTTTTTCTACGTGTGGGCCACATAGTTAGCTTGATCTTCAAGCTAACAACATGTGTGGCACATGGCTAACTTGTTGACCACGTTTCTAATCCAAAAAATCGATTAAAGACACCTATGAAGTCAAAGCAGCATCTATGAAGCTTCTAGGAAGCTTCCATATTAAATACTATAGAATTAACTTATTTTTATCTACTTTTACTTACTTCTACCTATTTGTATATGTAATTATTAGCTTACATGAGTATGTCCATGACATTATCCCCCCCTTCTAAGGACGAATTCCACGAGGAGTGGTCATCATATGTTGAGAAAATCTATGATGCGACGAATTGTATTCGCCACATATTTTGATCTTTGTTCTCTTCGAAGATGATTGATAGGGCCTCTCAACCATCGGTAGTGTCCCATACCAGGGCGGGAAGACCACCCAGTTATTTGATCATTGTTGAGTCCTTCATAACTTCCTTCGAATAGAACATTTAGAACACCATCAGGAGTTGTTCCTACCTCTAGCAAAATCACCAAACATCAGGAGTCCCTTCCCAAATCGTGATACCAAACGCGTTGTATCTCGCCATCTATTCGAGGAAGAACATGTCGTTCTTGAAGATCTTCATCTCGATTGCGTCGTCTTGAAGGTTGTGACAATCGTAATGTCTCATCCGGTAGGTCAACAAATGAAGGCCCTTGAGTCGAATCCACTCGTTGTTGGTTCTCCATCTCTTGAACGTCACAACTACAAAGAAGCTACGAACAAGGATTGAAAGTAGAATGTTATCTTGCCTAGATGTTGTTTCTTTTATAAAGAAGGTTTTCATCTTGATTTTGATGGATGTCGTCAATGAAAAGCCTCCACCACCTTTGCTACATTTGCAAGATTCTTTATTGGCTCCCATGTGCATTCACTAATACCATATCCGCGCCAATGGACAAGATATTCCAATTTATTTCGGCGCCGCCTTGAATCTAAGACTTCTTATACTTCAAACTCTTCATTATTGTCCACTTCTATAAGAGGAGGTGGAGCTTGTCGTCTTTTTGGTATGTCCACTATCTTGTATGGTTCAAGAAGAGACACGTGGGATACTGGATGGATTTTCATTGACTCCGATAGATGTAAACGATATGCAACTGGATTGATTTGTGCAGAAATAGAAAATGGTCCCAGCCTTCAATAGTCCAACTTATCACAAGGACGAGTGGTCTTGATATTGCGACAAAGTAGCCATACCTTATCACTCAAGAGGAATGGTGGTTGTTCCTTTCGATAGACATCCGCATTGACCTTTTGTTGTTCTTGAGCCTCTTTTAATTGCGCCTTCATCATTGCATGTAGCTCTGATAAATGAATCGCCAAATCTTTTGCAGCAGGATTATCAACTTTTGAAAAGTCAAAAGTATCAAGTCGTGGATGATAACCATAATTAGCAAAGAAAGGTGTTTGTTTTGTAGAAGAATGTACCGTATTATTATAAGCAAACTCTGCCAATGGCAAAAGAGTTGTCCAATCATCTTATTGGTAGTTAATGGTACATCTTAAATATTGCTCCAAAACTTGATTAACACGCTCCATTTATCCATCAGTTTGAGGATGGAATGCCGAAGATAGTTTTATATCCACTTTTAGAATCTTGAAAAGAGTCTGCCAAAATCTTGATACAAATTGAGTTCTCCTATCTGATATAATATCCTTGGGTAATCCATGATAGCGATAGATATTATTAAGAAAGAGCTTAGCTGTTTCTTCACCTATGATAGATTTTGTACATAGTACAAAATATGCCATCTTGGTAAAACGATCTACTATCACGAATATAGAATCATAAGAACTTGAGATTGGAAGATCCGTGATGAAGTCCATAGAAATAGAAGACCATGATTGTTCTGGAATGGATAATGGCTGAAGAAGTCCAAAAGGTCAATGACGAGGAGTTTTTGATCTTGAGCAAATATCACATGATTGTACAAAATCTTTAATTGCCTTTCATATTTGAGGCCACCAAAA